TATTTCATAATAGTCACTATCTTGTTTATTTTTTAACAATTTGGTTAGGCTATCCATCTCAGCACATTCATGTATTTTTTAAATTACCATATCCTCTAGAGGAATGAAAGACAATTTCCAGTTTTGTGCATAGGTTATTCTGGCCACAGTTATGATGTGCATAATTAAATATTGATATTTTTTCTCCATGTTTAAATCTATCATACTTAGCAGAAAGTTTTTGGGTTCAAGTTTTAAATTTTGTTTTGTTATATTTAAAATTCAATTTCTAATATTTCTCCAAAACTTCTGAGCACATGGGCAAGTCCACCACATGTGAAAATATGTTCCTTGTGCGTAGTTACATTTCCAACAGTTGGGTGGTAGGTTGGGGAACATCTTAGCCAGTCTCGCGGGAGGTAGGTGCCAGCGATGAACCATTTTATATAGGTTTTCTTTATACGAGACTGACATGGTTAATTTGTAATTTGTTTGCCAGATGTGTTCCCACTTATCTAATTCAATACTATGACCTACGTTTTTAGCCCAAATTATCATAGATTCTGTGACTGTTTCTTCTTTTAATTTGTAATCCAAAAGATATTTATATGTTTTACTAATTGTTTTCTTTTCCTCTCCTAGCCATATTTTATCTAATTATTGTGGAATCATATTAATGCCAAATTGTTCTCTATCTTTTTTATAATGGGTTTGTATTTGTGCAAAGGGCCACCATGCTATCTCCTTTCCTTGAATTTATATTTGGATCCTATTTTTAAGCTCTCCAGTATCATATAGTAAATCTTTATACCTGACAATATTTTCATAATCCAATAGATGTGGATATGTGACTGCTTCCAATGTAGATAGCCACAATGGAACCTTTGGGTAGTGTTTTTTTTTAATGTTTCCCCAGATATTGAACAACACATTTCTTACATGGTGCCTTTGGAAATATGAATGTTGTTTAGATTTTCCATCCCACATGAAAGCGTGCCAGCCAAGTTGGAGATCAAAACCTTCTAATACTAATAACCTTCTATTTTCTAATTTAACCCAATCCTTAAGCCAGTTTACTATGGCAGCATCATAATATAATTCAAAATCTGGAAGGCCAAATCCTCCTTTTTTCTTGGCATCCTGTAATAGTTTATATTTCACTCTGGTTTTTTTCCTGTGCCATATAAATTTAGATGTACATTTGTTTAATTCTACAAAAAAGTTCTTTTCCAACTTGACTGGCACTGTCTGAAACAGGAACAACAGTTTTGGCAAAATATTCATTTTTACTGTCGAAATACGTCCCAATAATGATAACTGCAGTTTGGCCCAATTATCTAAATCTTTAACTATTTGCGTTATTAACTTTTCATAGTTATCTTTTTTAATCGATGAACATTTAGCAGTCAACCAGATCCCTAAGAAATGAGCCCTATACTACTAAGAGAAATAGAAGAATATGGAAAGGTGGCAGGGTTAAAAATTAACAAAGAAAAAACAAAAGTGTTAACAAAAAACTGTACAAAGGAGCAGAAGGAAGAACTAGCAAATAAATTAGGTATGCAGCTGGTAAATAAAGTAAAATACTCAGTTGGAGATTTTCTGAAGAAACCATTCAGAGCCCACCCATCAAGATTATGTTAGCATTTCTATTAAAAATTATTTCATAACTTGATAATTTTGGTGTAGATCCATGTAGATTTGGCAAAGTCACTGATTTCTCTCCATCTTTTTCTTTAAAAGTTTCAATTGTATATAATAAAAAGGCTGCAAAGTAGGGAAAACTGTTCTAAAAACATTTAAGAATTAAAAAGGAGCTTTTCAAATGATACTCAATATGCAAAGCTCTCCACTCATTTGTCTCTGCAACTATCCTCCAGATGTAATTTTTGAGAAACCATATTGCCTTGAATAGAGAGGAGACAACAGTTCAGTAAACTGACACTTCCCTTGTCTTAACAGCAGACTCTCTTTTTCCCAATTGCAACCAGGATTGTTTTTCAGCTTTTTCTCTAAGCAAAGGAAATAGAAACAACTTCAGTTTAATCTCAAGAATGGAATGAAATGAAAAATAGGAGCAGAAACAGACTAGCCCAGACAGAGAACAGAGTTCAATCTTTCATGTAATTGGAAAGAAGTCTTATTTCAAAAACTAAAGCAAATCTCATCCTCAAGATATTTCTCATCTTGCCTCCTTAATTAATCCCTAACCTCTTACATCTTTTATTTTGTAAATCTGAGGGCAAGACCCTATTGTTTAGGGATGGGGATGTAGACACAATAGGAGTTTCTTTGATTTTAGAGTGAAGTACAAAAGTTTTGAATTAAAAAGTATACATAAGACTGCAAAGCAGAATCACACTATATGTCAGATGTGGCTATACATCTCTTAGATGTATATTATCAACTCTAAAGAAGCAACAACAAAAACAACAATGAATAACTTCAAACTTATTTTGTCTTTTAAGCAAAAGTACAGAACTAGTATGTACTCTTCGCAAAAAATGTTTCACAAAAGATACAGCAAACTATAAAAGATGCAACAGAAGTACTTAAATAACTGTTCGATGATGTTTAATTTCTTTTAGTCTGAGGCAAGAACATATGAGAATCCTGTAAATGCAGAAAAAAATCTACACCCATTTTTTATCTCCCATAAGGAACTTACAAGTAATCATATATGTTTCAGCAACAGTAGTAGTACTTCTATTGATTTATGGGAAATCACATAGGAAATTACACTGCTTTCAAAAGCCAGGCATGTGTATATACCACTAGAATTTAGGTAGCAAATTTCCAAGAAACAAACAATAAAAAATGGTATGTAAGCCTTTGTTTGGTTTAATACAGTATACCAAAAATGTTCAATTATTGCTCTCAAACCAAAGGAAAACAAAATTCCAACTCTATACTCTTCAATGACATTATTTCATGTTCCAAATTATTTTTAAAAGTGTGATTCTGAACTGCTAAGGTTCAAAACTCAGTTTGTGTTATTTGGAATTCTGGACCTCCCAATTCTTGTTATGTCTGAAGGTAAATAATCAATACAGGAAGGCAGAAGAGAAAAAGACAAGGAAGTTTCTGAAAATGCCCAGTTGGCTGCCAGATGTCCACTCTAATGGAATGCCTGTTGTTTTCCTGGCTATATTCATCTGCTCTTCATCATGAGTCCTTCCATGAATATCACATTATTCTCCTTCAATTTACTGTCCCACCCACTCAGCTGGCTCCCTGTCCTTCAATTGGTACCTAAATTATATGCATGTAAAGAATTTCTATGTTTTCTCTTGCTTCTCTTTTTATATTTTTGTTTTTGTTTTATTATGACCAACCTTATCTCACTTTCACTTAAGCCTTTTTGACATGCTTTTCTCAGTGAATGGACTAGTGTTGATTTATCAATCTTAAATTCTTCTGTATCTTCCCACTACCTTTGAGCCACAAATCATAAATCTATTAGTTAAGAACTTATAAACTCCCTAATCCTTGTGATTCACAAGTAGTAATTGGAGCCATGTTTTTTTTTCTGAAAATAGTTCCCCAAAATAATTAATTTAAATAATGATTTATTTCTATTCCAAAGCATTCCATATTCTTGACAAGAATTCCAGCTGAGAAATATTCTATGGGAATCTATCATTCCATGATATACTCCTGAACAAGGGGCACCTCAGAAGCCATAGTCCTATTTCTTTTCTTACCCCTGAAAGCTACATATTCAGCTGACAGTCTCATTTAGCCTTTTCACAGTAATCCGATGAAAAAAAAAGTATAAGGCTATCCAATGTGTCTGCATTTACATCATATCATCCAATGAAAAGTATAGAAATAAGGGGTTCGTGAACTTTTTGTCCATAATAAAGGATTCTCAAAGGATGATATAGAATATTTGGATCAGTGAAAATGCAATTTACCAGACATTCTATAACCACCTCAGTTTTTGTACTACTTCCATAAATAATAGAATTATTGGCATTCATGAACTGTTTATTTAAGTCTTTTGAGTATGTAGTTTTCTCAAGTGGCTAAGATTACAATATGTTTCTTTATATGAAACTTAAGCTGAACCCACAAAATATAGGACAGCACCTTCAATCAAACTATGGTATAAATATATTCCAATTTAGAAAGATAATTGTAGAAGATTCTAAATTGTCTCATAAAATGATCCAATCCCTTGGGGTTGCAAAAGCCACAGGGAAAACTAAACACATGCCTACCCCAAAATCTATATATATGTGTCTTATCTATTTTGAACTTTGATCAGATAGTATTATTCATCACAGAGTAGAAGGATGTGCTCTAAGGATGTGACCTGTCTCTTGTTAAAATGATTCAATTTGAATTGTATTTAACATTAAAGATCAGTCTTCCCCAACCTGATGCTCTCCAGATGTTTGACCTGCAACTCCTATCACTGCTAAACAATATATCAAGTTGCTTTTTCAATTCATTCCAACATAAATAATTATTTAATGAAGATAAATTGCTCTTTGCTAATTAGTATACAGATTGTATTACTTTACTATGAATTATATTAAAAACATCACAATACACAGCTCTTAAAAAGTATTTTAGATCTTTCATGTCACATAATCTATAACACTCCACCTTCCCCCCCTGCTCTGTGATTGACAAAGGTGGAGTTACCATGCAAAATTTTCATCCCTAGAGTGAATTGTTTTAAAGTAGCTCATACAATATATTTTTGAAAACAGTGGGAAGAAATGGAAATGGTGACATTTTCTCCAGTAGAGCAACTATATAATACTAATAAATACTAATGGATTCTCTTCTTCCCCACATCCCCAAAGTTTTCCATAAAAGTACATCAAGTAATTAATGAAAAGCTGAGGAGAGGTTCTTAGAATAGAAAATCTGGCCCTAGCCCAAATCAAATGGTGCAGAAGAGAGAAATCTACATACAATGCAGAAAAATTCACAAGACTGATGAGACAATGGATAAGAGAGACGGTTCAGAAAGAGAAATAGGTATTTTCCAAAAAATAACATCTTACCACTTTCATTCTTCTCTATTACATCCACCACTTCGCCGGCCTGCAGGCTGATCTCCGAGTTCTCCTGTTTCTCATAGTTAGATACCACCACATATTGCTCCAGGATCATAGGTTCAGAGCTAGCGTCAGCACCTGGAGAAGGGAAAAAGCAAGCTGTGAGCCAGCTTCCAGCCATGACTCCTTGAGAGTCACCTTTGTCCATCTGACTCAGGATAGGCTGACTTGTCACCAAGGCCAAGCCAATCAGAACAGAACTTTGGCTCACAGCGTATCCCCAAATGGCTGGCCATAAAGGAGTAGTTTCCTCTGGCCCACAGCTCAATAGAACAGAGGAACATTGGAGAGTGACTGAGGGAGGCACTAAAAACAAAGCAAAGCAAAACAAAAACCCACGCTCAAGTGTTTAACACAACAGCATAATGCAGACATTAAAATGCAGGACGGAGTTTGAAAATAAACCTCTTTCCAACATGGTTCCACACCATACTCATTCCCATTCAGAGAGAAAAATCCATCCCAATCACAGCCAACATAAAAGGACAGAAAAAAAGGAAAGCCAGGGCTGCTCCGATAAAATGGGGTAAAAAAACAGAACAGTCTAGTCCGCAATTTCTTCCCCTTATAGACTGAGCTCCCGCTTGCTTTTTACAGAGGCTTGAGACAGGCAAAAGAGGGTTGTGGACGCCAATCATATTTGCCTCTCACTGCAGCCCTTAAATAGAAAACACATGAGCAATGTTGGAAAAGGGAGGAGGGAATGGAGGAAGGGAAGAGGGGAGGGTGCAATGGTCTGTTTACTTGAAACAGAAGAGTTATAGCACAGAATCCTGCTTACACAGCCCCTCTCCTGCTCCACTGTTCACCTTCTTCTAAACACAAGTCAAAATAAGTGTCCCTTTAAAGTAAACTGCACAGAAAATCTCTTGCTACAACTCTAGCATTGCAAAGTGCTGGCAAAACCTGCTCCCTTATTTTTCCACCACCTCCTCCCTACGTCTCCTTCTCTTTAATTCATTATTTTATTATGCATCATTTTTGCTACATTTTCCACAAGTTGATTATATGAAACAGAAATAATAAACATATTCTGCTACTATGGACAGTTTTTTTATAAAAAAAAATTGCTTTCCACAGCAAGTTGCAGCAGAAACATGCATGCCCTTTGCTCATCAGTCACTCAGAACATAAACAAGGGCTTAGCCCGCCCACTTATGAACACCCACAGGAAAATCGACTCTTATACACTGCCCTTTGGCGCCTGCAAGGAAAAAATATGTGCTACAAAAGCATTTTTTTAAAAACCAGTAACTTCCCCCCCCCCCCTTTTGAACTCTTACCCCACTTCACAGCATACGGCATACTTAGGAATAAGCATACTTAGGAACAAAAGACTGAAAAACCCAAAAGAAGCCAAGAATTTATTTTTTTTAAAAAAACTTGAAATACTTAAAAGTTTGAGAGATGTTGACTAACATATTATATGAATCTAATTGTGCATATCACCCTACTCACCCACCCAGTCCTACAGCACAATGGCATCCTTTTGTCCTTGTGTATTCTTGCCTACATATTCAAAGCCATGCTTCTGTATTTCATTCCCCCCCCCCCACTTTCAAGCGTGGTACAGATGACCATATTTATATTACAGGTAGCCCTCAAATTACAACAGTTTATTTAGTGACCGTTCAAAATTACAATAGCACTAAAAAAAAGTGAGTTGTGACTGTTTTTCACACTTACGATTGTTGCAGCATCCCCATGGTTACATGATCAAAATTCAGAGGATTGGCAACTGGTTCATATTTATGACCTTTGCTGTGTCCCAGAGTCACGTGATCTTCTTTTCTGACCTTCCGACAAGTGAAGTCAATGGGGAAGCCAGGTTCACTTAACAACCCTGTTACTAATTTAACATCTGCAATGATTTCATTTAACAACTGTAGTGAGAAAGGTTGTAAAATGGGGCAAACCTCACTTAACAAAGATCTCACTTAGCAGCATAAATTTTGGGCTCAATTGTGGTCATATGTTGGGGACCACCTGCATTCATCTAAGGTAGCATTCCAACATGCAAGCAGATCCTGTTTTATAATCAATATTCCTGCATTTAGAGCTTGGTGTTGTTGTTGTTTTTTAATTTTTATTTAAAGTATCACAGTAAAAGTGAAATCAGTGCTTTAATTATCTTATAAAACCTGTATTTTGAATGCTTCAGAGTTCTTTCAATGCCGAAACACAGAGAGTATAAAGTATGTGATATGGACTTTTCAAGTATTTATGGGTAGGGAATTATCCTACCCATAATTTTATCCCATCCATGAGATACTAACTAGAAATCTATCATCATTCCCATGAAGCACTCTATCCCTGATTACAAAGGGATATTAAAAGGCTCTTAAGGAAAAATAATCTGTCATTTGATGCCCTAGCTAGCAGATGCATTTTCTTCTAATTAAAAAATCCCTTGGGTGGAATTGTAGTGAAAAAAGAAACATATGCACAAAGCCAGACAGCCACTTAGGAAGAATCTATTATAGGACATACATTAGAAAAACCTTGACACTCAGTGTTTATTACTGTACTGCAAACAGCTCTAATATAAAACCATTCAAGAAAACTATAACTGTACTGTACTGGCCAGTAATGCTTCCCTTTCACAACTTTCACAGCCCAAGATAGCCACAAACATGCAACATACAAACACAGATTCTCCATAACACCCAAATGTCAACTCTCTTCTATACCTTCTGTGCCTAATAATGTCATCAACAACCTCAGGGATATTACAACATCATTCTATGTAAATGGGTTTACCTGTTATTAGGATGTCTCTTATCAACGTTAGCTCATGAACAACCATTTTAAAAAAATGGCTGGCTTCACATATTGTTTTAATCACATTGCTTAAACATGATACATTGAATTGATATAACATGATAAACACAATAAACCTGAGGCAATGCTTGGATTCAAATAATACTCTAAATCAAAGCACACCCTTATAATGGCATAGTATACATATACTGTATTGAGAGCCACATTAAGGCATCAGTCTAAAACTAGGAAATTATGAATTCTAATCCTGTTCTTAGGCACAAGACAGCTGGGCGACTTTGAGCCAGTCACTTTTCTTGGGCCTAGGAAGCAGGTAATGGCAAATCACTTCCCCAAAAAACATTACCAAGGGAATTGCAGGAACTAGTCCAAGTAATTGCCAAGAGCTAGGTTAAAGACTCAAGTATGCTATAGTCATAATAGATACTTTATATAATTTTTGAAAACTCCAATAATACTTTTTAAACAATTGTGAGAATATCTAAGAAATTATATGGAGGGTTTTTTTTGACTGCATTACATATTCTGTTAAAAAAACAGTATGGATTAGAACATGCACACAAAGGGAAGCGGAACTATATGATCAATCCCAAAAATATGAATATTGCAAATGTACAACATAGTCAAGGAATCAACATGAGAAGTAGAAATAGCTTTGACAGAACCTGTGACTAGGAACAAAGTAGAGTAATCTATATATTATGACCATATGTTCCAAATATAACTAAATACATACTTAAATTATCTATACTAAATACTCATCTTTCTTAGGCAGGAAGATGAAAGACACAGGTTTATGTTAAAAAAAATGCAAATGTAAGAGAAATACTGGATTATTTTACTGTACTATTTTTTTTTCAAGGGTAAGAATAATTTATCTTCAAAATAGAAGGTATTCAGAAGTATTTGGAATAATGGCGACATTAAATTGCAATTTAATTATTACAAAATAAAAGGCTTCCTACCATCATTAATTACACCAATGAAATTAAAAAATCCCTTTCAGTAATCTTAAAGAGGAGAATAGCTATCTTTTCAGCCAGTGTTCCCTAAGTCATATTACATTCACTCTTTTAAGAGATTATATTTATGAAATGGAAAGGTTTTTAAAACATAAGTTGTTCCACACACTCATTCAAACATCATAAACACTCATCTATTTGTGTTCTTTCTTACACTTAGGAACAGATCATCAGGAAACATTGTGACTCCAAAATTCTCCCATTACATTAATGGTGAAAGGAGGGAGGTTATTTATTTAAAAAAAATTTTGCCCTACTCATTAGCCCAAAAACACTTCCAGAGTAGCCTACAAAAATAAGTTGTTTTCTGCTCTCAGAACTGTAATATTAAAGAAGGGCAATAATGATAGTGGTAACTTTGGAAGCAGTAGCTATATTAATGGAAAAACTAAAAGATTGTGTGCTGTTATCTGGTTTTAAAATTAATAATAAAAAAGTGAAGATGTTAACAATATGAAAATGAGAATTTATATAAAAATGGTTTTAAGATTGTGAAAAAAGTGAAATATGTATGTATTACCATGAGTCTTTAATTGTACATTGTATGATAATAATTATGTTAAGACATGAAATGAAACCAGGAAGGCATGTTAATATGGGAGAAATTACAACAGACGTTGTTGGGGAGAATTTCTGTGAAAAAGTCACTTTTGATGTTTTTAAATGATATCTATTATGACAACTGGGGTATCTTTTAAGCAATGGCAGAAAGTTATATCCAATATACAGTATATGGCAAGGAGGGAAAATCCAAGAGTTACATATAAAATACTTAAGTTGCAAAGGAACGGAAATTGGCAACACTTGATTTGAAACAGCATTTTGCAACCTGCTACTCAGTCTAAATAAAAGAGTGGGTTTTGCTGAAAAATAAGAGAATTTTAGAATTAGAATAAGATCCATTTTAGATTCAGATGGCATGGTTTTCTATGTTACAAGCAAAGTTAAGTAAGGTGCATGAAGATTTTCAGAATCATAATATTAGAAATGCTATATCGAGACTATGGAATAAAGGTATAAGATATAAAGCCAGATTTACCTGAAAATACCTTTATGTTTCTTGGGGCAAGAAATATTTTAGAGGAAGGAAACAGTAAGTAAAGAAAAATGGTTAACTTTTCAAAAGTTGTTAGAACGGAAAAATGGGGAATATAAGATGAAATCAAAAAAGAATTGCTTGCAGTGGGATTTATTGTAATATACAATACAAATAAAAATAAAATTCAGGACAGGAGAAAGAAGTATAAGGTAGAAAGAAAAATAAAAAAGCAGTAA